CAGCTCTGCAGGCCCAGCCTCAGGCCCTGGCCCACCCTCAGCTCTGCAGGCCCAGCCTCAGGCCCTGGCCCACCCTCAGCTCTGCAGGCCCAGCCCCAGGCCCTGGCCCACCCTCACTCCCGGGCCTTGGGAACCAGCGCCCAACCTCCTCCTCAGGAAGGCAGCCCCCCTCAGGCCTGCCAACAATTGGGGAGTGCAGTTCTGATGGGCAGGCATGAGGCAGCAGGCAGGTAAGTCAGGGCGCGTGGGGGCCCTGGCTTGTCAGTGGTCTTAGGTAAAACCACGCTGGAAAGTGACTGGGAAACAGCCGCATCTGAGGACGCTGGGAGAGGCCGTCTGCCAGCCGAGGTGGCATCTGCAGCAGCTACCTGGGCCAGAGCTCCAGGGCGGCTCATACCCCGGCTCTGTGGCTCTGGCCTTGACTATCCCTCCGGTCAGTCTTGGCTTGAACCTCCCTCCTAAGACGTCAGGGAGTTGAAGGAGCGCAGGGGTCCCTCCCAGCCCCTCCCCACGACTTCGTCTCGGCCTCCCTGGCCCCACCCCTCTGGCATGGACTTGGTGAAGGCTGAGAGGCAGGCACCAGGCACAGGCCTCCCCCCATCCTCTCTATCACCCGGCACTGACTTCCGGCCATGACATAGCGGCTGCGGCATTGGCGCCCACAACACAGCAGGAAGGGGGAGCGCACCCACACCCCAGCCCAGGCTCAGCTCACACCACTTATATCTGCAGCGCTCCCGCTCCCACAATCAGACCCGCGGGGCCCTCCACCTTTGGCGTCTGTGAGAACCAGCTTTCTGCGCGAGAAGCAGGCGCTCCTGTCTGTACAACATGAATTAAATATATTATCTGTCTTTGTGCTGAGTCACAGGACTTTCACAGTACAGTGGGGGAGGTGAGGAGGTTGGCGGGAGGCTGGGACCCTCGGGGCTGAGGGGACTGGGCTGGGCAGGTCTGGCCCCGCCTTGGCCTTTGTCATTCAAGGTGCAGCCGCAGTGGCACTTTGGGAACACAACAGAGGTGCTGAGTGGGGTGCTGGGCGAGGGTACCTGCGGCCCTGCATCTAGCCTGCGCCCGGGGTGGGCTCTCAGGATAGAAGCTGCCGTCCTGTCCCACCTTCTGGCCTTGACACCCTCTCCCCTGACCCCGCTCTGGGGTGGGGGGGGGCCGGAGCAGGAATGGGGTGGAGCAAGGACCAGAACCCCGGGGGCCGTCTCCAAGGAGCGCAAGCCAGCCTGGCACTGCATCTGAGTGCCCCAACCGTCTGGGTGCTGCCCAGGGGCAGCTTATTGGTGCTCAGCGGGATGAACAAGAGCAGCGGGAGGGGCAGGTAGGAGCTCTCAGAGGGCAGGGCCGCTCTTCCACCTGCTGACTTAAGGCAATCCTATCTAGGCTGGGGAGGGGCCGAAGGCAGGTGTGCCAGCCTCTCCGGGCCCAGCAGGCATCCGGCTGATACAGGGCACCTGGTGAGGAGGGAGCCAGACCGGCTGCGCTTGATAAGGGGGCTGAGCTCCTCCTCTCTGTTGCTCCAGCGACAGGCACCTCTGAGGTGGGGGTGGACCCTGGCATACACATTGGCACCCAGGATTTCAGGGTCCCAGATGTACCAGGTTCCTGCTCTGAGGGGAAGAAGGTCTGGGACGTGTGGGCTCTAAGGGGCCCGAAGGGCTCTGCCAAGCGGGTGAGCAGGCCCCAGGGAGGCCCGGCGGCACCTGTCCTGGCATAGCACTCTGCCTGGCACCAGGTTCTCCTGTCCGTGCGGAGCCCACCAGGGCGCCCGAACTCTGCAGGGTGGGCGAGGGTCCAAGGCCCCTCCTGCCCCGCACCTTCCCCTGGAGGAGCAGCTCCTCCCAACCCCTGGGCCAGTTGGCGAGGGGTAGGTATCCAGGGCCAGGCCACAGGGGAGGCAAGCAGGAAGCAGGCAGAGGAAACAGCCGTGACCAGCAGGGCTGCAAGAGGTCTTCTGGGCAGCCGTTAGCCCCGCTCCTCAGTCCTCTGAGGACACACAGGTCCCATTCTACCCACAAGTGTGTCCCTGGGCTCACAGCTGGGTGGGCCTGGCTCAGAAGATGCTCTGTCTCCGGTTCTTCCCTCGTCCTGGAGAAGGAGGGTAAGAGGCGGGGCTGCGGGCAGCAGGCTGGGCCCAAGGTGCCCACACCCACTCTAATCTCTCTCACTGGCCCAGCAAGCGTGGGCTGGGGAGCAGTGCAGTCTCCCCTACTTAAAAGCCTCATGAAGTTGTGACTTAGGGTCTCGGAGCCTCAGTTCCACAAACTGAAATTGTGGGCACCTGTCACCAAGGCATGTTTTGAGGATGAAATGAGATAAGGCCTGGGAAGCGCTGTCATTTCCGGGACCTGCTGTTGTAAGACAGGTGTGTTGCTCTGGGTGGAGGAGTGGGAGCTCAGCTTTCATAAAGAAGCCTGTGCCCCTCACCAGGGCTGCTTCAGATGCGGAGATCTGTCTGGGGAGGGGCAGGAGGCAGCAGGCACCAGAGGGAGGAAACCTGGGTAGGAGATAGGGAAACCAAGCCTTCCCTGCTCCCCAGGGGCCCCACAAAGGCAGACCAATGTCAGGGAGCCTGGGCTGACCACCCATCACGGGGGGGGGGGGGGGGCTGCTGGGCCCTAAGTCTGCCCCCTCCATGGGAGGGAGGAGCCACCTGTCCCGGCCTAGTAAGGAGTGGAGCGGGGGAATACAAGTCCCTACCTGGTTGCTGAAAGGCCAGGCCCCGGTAGCCTGGATCCTTCTGAAGTTGAATCTCCTTCAGGGAGAAGACGGAGGCAGCTGGGGTGAAAGAGGAGAGAGCTGGGGAGAGCTGGGACAAACCCCCACACCCACCCAGTTTGAGGGGCAGGGACCACTGCCTTGCTGGTGACCGCCTGCAGTTAGGAAGGCCACGTGCGTCTAAGTGGACTTTAGGCCTTGGAGTTTGGCCCTTAGTTATAGGCAACCCATGGAGGGGAGTCTTGGGCTCCAGCTTTTCTACCCTCACCAGCTTTCCTCAGTTCTGAGGGGGCCCCGCCTTCCCTCCCCACCTCCCCAGATACTCACTGTCTTCAAGCTGGTGCACACGCTCTCCCAGGGACCGGAAGTACGGATGGCTCAGGGCCGCCTCTGCTGACACACGGCTCTTGGATTCGTACTGAAAGGCACCAGGAGGGCTTGGGCTGGCTAGGGGCTGGGGGACCCCTCACCCACGCTAAGTTAGATCACCAAGAGGGGAGGGGACTAAGTGAAGCAGATGAAACAGAGAAAGCCCCTGGGGTCCGCTGTCAACCCCCACTTCTAGTTCAACCCAAGAGCTGAGGTCCGGGCTGAGGCTCCCAGAGCAGGGCTTCTGAGCGTGAGCCGCTCCTGGGACAGAGAGACAGACGCTAAAGCAATCACCGCCATACAGTGGATAATAGTGACGTTCAGACGCAGTAAACGACCTTTACGTGAGCTTATCCAAGACAAGCACCACACCCAGTGTGCCCCATGACCACAACCATCCTTGCTCACTGTATAAAATATAGGTTATTGGGCCCTGCCTGGTAGCGCAGCGGGTTAAAGCACTACACTGAGAAGCTAAAGCCACTTCCGCATGAGTTCGATTCCCGCCTGCCCCAGAGGTGACCACATGGAGCGACAGACCTCTCCTGACCCACCCTGCTGCTCCCCTCAGCAGTGTACTTCATTGATCTGCCTGTTCTGCTCCCCACTCTGTCTCTGGTGAAGCCTCTCACTGCCCCTGAGCCTCTGGCCTGTACCCCAGTTCTGTATGTACAAATAAATAAATCTTTAAAAAAAAAAATACAGGTTATTAATGCCACCTTGCAGTTGAGGGAACTGTGGCACAGAGAAGTTCTGTAACCCGCCTGAGGCCACACAGCCAGTAAGTGGGGCTGAACCGGCTGGAGTTCAGAGGTCTGTGTGGAAACCACCCCTGGAGGGCCCTGAGTGGAGAGCCCAGAGCAGACACAGGGTCACGCTTACGCGGGTGGGTGTGGAGTGAGGGAGACGTGCAGGGGCGGGGTGGGGGTGTGTGGAACCTGCCCTGGGGGGCCAGGGGCACTCACCAGGAGGAGGCTGCTCAGGAGGTTGATGCCATCAGGGTCCAACCTGCAGGAAGAAGAAGCTGACACAGGCCTAGCTTGGGGTGCAGGGAGCAGGGCATGCGTCCACCTCCAGGAGGGACAGTGGGGCCCACAAGCAGACAGGAGGTGGCTACCTGGGAGCTTGGCTGATGAGCGGCTGCGGGAGATACCGGGGGAAGTTGTAGGCTCGGAACTCCGACAGGGCTGTCACCCCGGGCCAAGTCTCTTCCGTGGGGGTCCCTGGAGAGACAGAGGGGATAGGGAGGACAGGGTGAGGGGCCGGGCCAAGGGGGACACAGAGGGGCGACAGGAGAAGGGGGCACACGGGTTCCCCCAACCCCTCCCGTTAAGCTCCCAGGCTCGCCCCAATCCTCCGTGCGCCGGGACTGGACGGAGCTCTGGCTCCCCCTGGTGGTGAGACTGACCGAGGAGTCGGAAGATAAGGTGCAGCTCCTCCTTGACCGTGGAGCCGGGGAAGAGGGGCCTCCCAGTGGCCATCTCGTAGTGGATGCAGCCCACGCCCCTGCAGAGCGGGTGGGAGGCGGCATCAGGCTGGGCCCCCTGGCCGGCCTCCTCCGCGGAGCAGGAACGGGGAGTGGAGGCTTCAGGAGGCCCTGGCCTCTCCCCTTTCCCTCCGCAAGGTGGGTCTGCTGCCTGTGACCCAAGTGTGGACGCAAACTTTTCCCAAGTGTGTCCGCACGGAAGAGAGAAGCCCACAAGTGTATCTCCCCGGGAGCCCCTGGCATAGGACATCATTGCTGTCATGGAAAAAGCTCGTTTTGCATCCTACACCGAATCCGAAGTTTGTTCATTTAACAGCAACAGAGCATGTCCCTTCCAAAAAATACAGAGCTGATGCTTGGAGAAGATTTATCATAGTCACTGTGTGGGCCCTTCTGTGCCCCTGCCAGCCTCCTAAGTACTATGGGGGGGATATTTCAGCACAGTCTTGCAGTTCTTGGAGCCGGTAACCTCTGTGTACTTGAGACTTCATCCTTTGACATCCGGCTGGGCGGGATGCCAAGTGGATTTTAGTCATGGGAGGGCAGAGAGTTCTTTACAGAGCCCCTCAGCAGCAGAAGGAATTCTGGGTTGTGGCCAGGTCCCTCCTGCTCCCCTGGGTGCCCTGTCACTCACCACATGTCGATAGGGGTGGAGTACTCTGTGGACCCCAGCAGCACGTCAGGGGGCCTGTACCACAGGGTCACCACCTCATTGGAGTAGGTCTTCGTGGGCACTGACTTGGCACGGGCCAATCCTAAGAACAGACATGTCACTGAAACCCCTCCCAGATGGGTCCTGGGGAGACAGCCAGCACCCCGCCCCCAACCAGCAGCCAGGGGGCTCCAGCCCTCACCAAAGTCAGCCAACTTCAGCTCCCCCCTCTCATTGATGAGCAGGTTCTGGGGTTTCAGATCCCGGTGCAGGATTTTACGACGATGGCAGTAGGCAAGACCTCGGAGCAGCTGGAACATGAAAATCTAGGGGGAAGGGGAAGCGCAGGGTAAGCAGGAGGGAGCCTGTGCCCTCTGAGGGACGCTATGCCCCTGCCCCATGGCAGGAAGGGGATGAGGCAGGAGCTGGCAGGGGCGAGGTACCTGGAGAGCCAGCTAGTGCTCCCGCCTGGCTGCAGCCACCCATCCCGGGGAGCCCGTCCGCCAGGGGTGCAGAGGGGCAGGAAGTCAGACTGTTCTCCGGCCCAGACTGAGGCACCGGTAAGCCCACCTATGTGAGGCTGTGGCTTTGATTCTTTGACAAACACCAGAGTCACTTGTCCTCCCAGCTTCCAGGGAGCAACCCTTCTCTGGGGAGTAATTCACACTCCCACTTGACAGATGCTCACAGTTTGAACCTGATGCTCACAGTTTGCATCCACAGCAGGGCAGTAGGGCCTGCAGGGCTACGGCTGTGCTGGGGAAGGTGCTCCCTGGGTGGCCAGCCAGGGACCTCTGACCTCTGATGTCTGAGCCACTTCAGCAGCCGGGTCTGAGTGGTTCCCAGGTGTGTGCTGGGGGCCCGAGGGTGGGGTACCTGCCACGGAGTCCTCACCTTCACGTTGTGCATGCTCATGAGGTTTCCACAGTGGTCCAGATACTGCTTCAGGTCACTGTCCTGGGACACAGAGCCTGGCTCAGCCCCGCCCTGTCTTGCCCCAGGGCCAGAAGCCACCCCAGGGGGTGAGCAGGCCCTGGCTCCAAGGGGCCTGTAAGCCCCAGGCCCACACCTGCAAGGGAGCACCTGAGAAGCTGAGTCTAGCATCAGCCTGGGCAGCCCCCACACCACCCCTGCTGCCCTCTGCAGGGAGAGCAGATGCCCGCCATGCCCAGCGCACCAGGTACTCGAAGACCAGGGTGAGGGACCGCTCCGTGTGGATGAGGTCGTGCAGGGTCACGATGTTGGCATGCTTCAGGTTCTTCAGCAGGGACACTGTGGAGACAGGCCTGCTGGGTCCCTGGGGTGTCACCAGCCCCGGCCCTCCCTTCGGGGGGCAGCCCAGGAGGCCCCACTCTGGCAAGGCAGCTCGGCCTCCAAGCTCCTGCCAGGGCTCGGCTCCACGGAGCCTCCTTCCAAAGAGCCCCAGGAAGGCGGGCCGGGCGCTGTGCCGGGCAGTCATACCCTCGCGAATGGCAGTACAGGGGGCCCCTTCCTCGTGCTCCAGCCGGATCTCCTTCAGGGCCACCAAGTTCTCTGTCAGTTTGCTGCGCCCCTTGAAGACCGTGGCATAGGTGCCCTGGGAACAGAGCCCAGACCCTCGAGAGCACTGCTTGGAGGGAGCACTCCCCAGAGGGAGCACTCCCCGGAGGGAGCACTCCCCGGAGGGAGCACTCCCCGGAGGGCTGCATGCAGCGCCCTGGCTCTCCCCTTTCTTCACAAAACTCTCCTCCAAAGCCCACCCCCTCTGGGATCTGCTCCTTCTGCACTGCTGTCGCCCCTGTTGACACCCCTGGGGTTCCCTCCTATGTTGCAGCCTTGCCTGCTCCTGGCCTCGGCCACACAGCCCAGTGCGCTGATGACAGATAGAGCCAACTCTCCCCAGTGCTGACTGTGCCAGCATTATCCATGTGCGGCCAGCGGCTGGGGCGCTCACAACCCCCTGTGGGGGAACATCTGTCTCCATTTAACGGGAGACACTAAAACACAGAGAGCAGTGAGCAGGTAACTCCCCCAAGGTTGGGCAGGTGCTTGCAGGGAAAAGACTGGACTCTGCTCAGACCCACAGCCAGTGTCCCTGGCTACTGTCCTCACCCCCGGAAGCTGGGCCACCCCAGCACCCACCCGAGGCCAGGCCAGACCCTGTGGAGCAGAGACAGAGAGCCGGGGGCAGGGGTGGGGGAGGTGGGAGAGGTGGGAGGGCGGCAGGCAGACCTGTCCCTCGGCCTAACCCTAACATCAGGCCGGTTGCCCCAGACCAAGCTCAGCACTTACCTCCCCCAGTTTGTCCAGTTTCACGTAGGTTTCCAGTTTCCCAAAGCCAATGTCGGACTGAGAGGAGAGACAGTGTCTTGTGAGCCTCATACCCCAGCGGCCACATACACAGACCTCCCCTCATCAGTACCACCCTCCAGCGTTGGGGAGGAAGGGGTGAGACTTCCCCAGGGGAGATGTTCTGCTTCTCCCTGAGCTCTGAGTACCGAGTGCAGGGCCCACAGCCCACAGCCTCTCTCCTCTGCCCACTTCTTCCAGCTCAGGGGTAGCTTAGCCTTTGGTACAGGTTCCTGGCTCCCCCGCCGCGCCTGTTGCGGCAGGTATTTGAAGTGGGACCCCCAGGTCTGTGTTGCAGCAGATACCCCCAAGTAAATCTGGTATGTCGCTGGGACTGGGAAACAATGCCCAGGAGACCACCTAGCTAGGCAATGGGTGTTGACCAAAGAGAACGAGCTACAGGGACACACTATGGCCAGCAGGCGGCGCCAAACCTCCGTGGCAGTGGCTGAGGCCTTGACGCAGACAGGCAAAGCCAGGACAGATGTGTCCGAGCTTGGGAGTGGGTGTCCGGCCTCTGGTGACCTCTGACTCTCTTGGGACTCACCAGAGAGGCACGGCGGGACATGCGGCTGAGAGGCCTGGGCACATCTGGACTCTCCAGCTGTAACTTCTGCAGGAACTCCTGGGGCAGGCGAATGTCCATGGGCAGGGACAGCCTCTTGCTGATGTCCTACCGTGGCCAGCATAAGAAAGGGACACTGGAGTTTGTTCCAGGGTAACCAGGGATGTGGCGCCCTGGCCTCTCACCCTGGGCCGTTTTCCCCAAGAAGCAGTTCTGAGTTGCCGTGTGAGTCCCCGGGGCCAGACTCAGGGCCACAGCAAGGCCAACCCGGGCTGTGACCTCAGACTCAGAACTGCTTAAAAACATCTATCCAGAGACACACGTGAACGCCCAGGAGTGTCGCCACCCAGGCAAGGCGCCCTCACGGGCTCTGGGACTCCCAGTCATGTGTTCCTATACCTGGCCACATGCATATGGGTCACAGGAAACCCAGCCAAACGGCCCAGCCTCGCACAACACACACTTAAGCACCTGGATCTCTTAACTTGCTTAATCTCATGGTGACCATTTTAAGACAAGGACATTGGTCACCGGGGCTGAGGCACCCGCTCAAGGTCATAGCTAATCAGTGGCAGAGCTGGGACAGGAACCCAGGGAGTCTGGCTCCGGGCACCCCCCTCCTGGCACACCTGAGGACGTGAGGACGCGCCCCGTGTGGGCACAGGGCAGGGCTGCGCCCTCACCTCCATGGAGAAGCGGCGCTGGTTCTGCCGCCGGTACTGCGGGCCGGGGGACGGTGGCCTGGGGTCCTCCCCGCCGTCCGTGGGGGAGGGGGTGCCGCACTGTGGTTGGGGGTCTCTGCCCAGAGGACCGAGCTGCAGGGCTGAGAGAGACAGGTGTCAGCTCCCCTCCTGCCCCTCTGGCCGGGACGGGAGGGGGTGTCCCGTCCCACCTGCATACCCCACCCCGAGGCTGGGGGGGGGGCGGGAACTCTCACCCTCATTGTGCAGGCTGTGGAGCTGGCTGAACTGCTCTGAGAACTCCGTCAGTGACTCCTCGATGGTCTCCGTGCGTGGCACGGACAGGGAGAAGCGGCGCTTGAAGTTGTTCTTCATCTTATTCATGGTCATGGTGGGCCGCGGGCAGGCAGCCAGCCGGGAGCTGAGACAGGAAGGGGAAGAGCAGTGAGGACAGAGCCGGGAGCGGGCGGATGCCAAAGGTGTCGAAGGTGAACCTGGCCTTGGTCTCCGCAGTCTTCACTGAAGTCCCAGCTGCCCGGTGGGGAGTTGACCCCTCTTCCTCCTGGTGTCTCTCATTCCCCCAGTACTGGTATTATTCACCTCCGTGGGGTCAATGTACAGATGGCAACCTGATGCCCCAGTGGCAGCTGGCACCTTTTTTCTTTTGGCATAGAAGAACTGGGGTGTAGGCCCGAGGTGTGGGGGATGAGAGGATTCAGAACAGGCCGATCCACTGAAACACACTGTGAGGGGAGCGGCGGGCGGGTCAGGAGAGGTCCGCTGCGCCCTGTGGGCCACGTCCCTGGCCGGGGATCGAACTCGTGCTGCAGGGGTGATAGCTTGAGACTAACTCCGAGGCCACCAGGGAAGCCCTAGATAGCATCTTTTGACTGCCAGAGGTCTGGAGAGTTCTGGACAGGGAGGCGCAAGTGCAGGTGGTCCCGGGCCAGAGCTCTTGGCCTACATGCGTGTAAATGCATCACCAGCCAGGAAGCCGCACTGGCTGAGCCCACAAGCGACGCCAAGCTGGCTTGCATTCCTGCGACACTGTTGTGTCCAACACACGCACTCGGGTCCCCAGGAGAAAGGAAAAGGAGGGGTGAGGGGAGAAAGTGTGTATCTGCGCAGGCCCCACCCACTTCTCTGGTAGGCAGGTGAGAAGCAGGTGAAGATCTCAAGGAAAGAAGTTTGGCAGAAATAGAGGCCCTGAGGTATTGGGGAGGGGGCGTCTCCTACACTGGAGCCCCAGAAGCACGTGTCCCCCGCAGAGAACACCATGGGGAGAGGGAAGCTGCTCTGCCCCAGCACCCCCTCCCCACCCAAAAGGGATTTCCCCCGCCACCCTCAGCCCTTCTGCCCTCTGAATGAGGGGTTCCCCACTGGCCCCCCACGGGCTGGTGCGGCTGCTTCTTCCTAAAGATGTTGCTCCTTGCTTCTCTGTCCTGCCCAAAGTGGGGTCAGGGGGTGTGAGACCATGGAGGGGGGTCCCCTCAGAGGCCTGGCCTGCCTCTCCCTCAGCTGCCAGGGGGCCTCCCCAGGGTCCCCTTCCCAGACGGCAGTAGAGCTGGTCAGCACCTGTGCCAGCTTGCACTGTGCCCGGCACAGCTCATTCCGCAGGATGCTCACAGCCCCAGCACTGGCCAATTCCCAGTTGCCAGAGCAACCAGGCCCCTCCGGCATCTTCCTGGTTTAAGTGATTACGGGTCAAATCTGTGTTTGCTTTGCTTCACGATCACATCCTTCTGTCCCCAGCCAGCCCAGAAAGGACCCGTTCCCTGGGCCCACAGACGCCTAGATGCCCCCAAGGCGGTCAAGCTGTGGCCACCCGACTCTCCCGAGCCTGGGCACGGGGTGTGGCCAGCAGCCTTTCCCCACTGGCGCCCGTCCCTCTGGAGGCCTCAGGTCTGCACTGTCAGCCCTGAAGTCTCGCTCAGTTCAGTTCCACAAACTCAGACAGGATCACGGCTGCATGCCAGACGAGGTGCCAGGCACTGGGGTCACAGAGAGTGGGGCGTGCTCCCCGTTTTCAGGATCCCAGGCACCAGCGGCACCCCCTTGGGTGAGTTCTTCCAGCCCCTCAGCACCACCCACAGCCTGATATCCCATCCCCGCCTGACCTGGGCCTGGCAGGACTGCTGTGACAGGGCCCTGGGAGGGCAGCCCCCCTCTCGCTCTGCCCACCAAGCAGGGTGCATGTACAGGCGCCACAGTGCACCAGCTGACAGGGGTCTCCAGACAGGGCCGGGAGCGGATCCCTTGTTTACAAAGCTGGCTGAACATCCGAATCACCAGGAAGCGCTGAGCATTTCAGGGTCCTGGCTCTTACTCTCAGATTCTGGAGCTGAGGCTCGGAGGATGCAGTTAGCGGCCTCCCTGGGGGATGGGGACACGCAAGTGATGACAGCTGTGGGAGGTCCAGTTTCCAGATCACCCCACGCTGCTGAGAAAGGGCGTCCTCAGTGAGGGTGCACTGAGAGGAGCTGAGAAACACCCCCCTTCTGCAGGAGGGGAGGAAATTGCTGCCCCCAAATTGACCCCAGGCTGGGTCAAAGTCTTCCTAAGGGGATTGGGGGAGCCCACACTCAACTCACTGAGTCCGAGTTCTGATCAAGAGGGGCCAGCCATGCCCTATCTTAAAAACAGGGCACCCCATAGATTTTTCTCGAAGACTGAGATTTATGGACGTCACTTGGGTCTGTTGCTCAAAACTTGGCAGTGGCGGCCATAAATCTCTTGCCCATGGGGGAGGGGAGCTCACTGACAGCCTTGGGAGAGGGAGGTCCCCGATTTCTCCAAGACAAAGGGGAACCAACCCTGAACACACCTGCCACCCCCCAGGTCCCGCTGGGAGCCAGAAGGCACCGTTTGGAGCCGGGGGTAGGGTGGGTGGTGGGCCGGGAGCCAGCGCGAGGGTGAAGCTGGGGACAGCTAGTGGGAGCAGGAATGTGGAGGCAGTGATGCAGAGGGATGAGGCCCAGCTGTTGTCCACCACCCCAAGAAGAGACCACGAGGAAGTGGCTGTCACTGCAATAGGATGAAGGTCAGATGTTGGGGTGGACTTCCTGACGGTGACAGGAGCAGGCGGTGGGGTGGTGGCAGCACAGCAGAGCGGACGCCTCACTCTGTTGGAGACAATTGGGGCATTGAACTCAGCGGGGTCTTGGGTGTGACAGGCGGGCGGCAGTGAATGGTCTGTTGTTCCCTTGTTCAAGACACAAGATGCCTCTGTCGATTTTCTCTTGGGAGAGTCAGCTCCTCAGATTTAGGGGGCCGAGGGGGAGGGAGTCGGGAAGAAGGCTGTCACCTTGGTGCCGTCTGCCCCTCACCCGCATCTGGGGACAGAGGGCTCAGTGTGACCCGGCCTGAGGCCAGCCCAGGGCAAGGCACAGCGTGGCCTTTGTCCCGGGGCCAGGGAGCCATCTGGGGCTGTCCCCGTGCGACTGGTGCCAGGGAAAGAGGGAGATGGGGTACAGAGCGGCTGACGGGTCTCTCTGGGTGGTGGTGGTGGGGTGGTGTTGAGAGCGGCGACTCCTGGGCAGCTGCGGGGTGGGCGGCAGAACCCCAACCAGGCCAGCCCGGGACCCAGGTAAGTCAGCAAATCTCCCAGCCCGCGTCACTTCCTCCTGGGCATACACAAATTGGCCCAGAACTTGCTGCTGGTGCCAGTGAAGTGAGTGGCACAGGAGGAAGGAGGAGCCAGGTGTGGAGGACACTGACACTTGCCCGAGGCCACGTGCACCTAGCAGAAAGGACTGGCTCTTTCTGGAATGCAGGGGAAGCCACTCACAGAGCTGCCATGCCCACGTCTCGCTGGTCTCAGGAGGGTGGGTGAGGCCAGAGAAGCTGACTTGCACAAAGTCATCCAGCAATTTCCTGGTCGCTACCAAGCGCACAAACCATGACCACCTCGCTCCTCTCCCCTCCTAAGTGAAACTCTCTCCACCCCGCTGTGCCCGAGGCCTGGGCTGTTGGTGCTGGTTTCCTTTAGGTCTCCCCCACCCCCACCGCGAGTTACCAGTCAGCAAACCCAGGTTCAAGCAGACTGTATGGTGGCGAGTAAATTATATCATGTTCCTAAAGGACGAGGGGCGGGTGGGGGGAGAAATAATAGTAATGAGTCACTATATACCGGAGACATTTTACGGGGCTGGAGTGAGGAATGGGATCAAAAATGGGAGGGAATGCACTGGACTATGGTGATGGCGCACGGGTGATGGGTGATGGGAAACCCACGGGGATTGCAGCTGCGATGGAAAAAGGCACAAAATGATGTAAAAATAAACTATTATGTCAAAAATTTAAAAGTTCACAAAAAAAAAAGTTCTAGGAAACAAACTTTGGCAGCAAAAGATACTTTCTGTTGGCCCTCCCTGGTGGCGCAGCAGGTTAAAGCACTGCCCTAAGAAGCTTAAGCCACTTCCACATGAGTTCGATTCCCACCTGCCCCGGAGGTGACATGGTGCGGCAGACCTCTCCTGACCCGCCCGCTGCTCCCCTTAGCAGTGTACTTCACCAGTCGGCCTGTTCTGCTCCCCGCTCTGTCCCCGGTGAATCCTCTCACTGCCCCTGAGCCTCTGGCCTGGACCCCAGTTCTGTATGAATAAATAAATAAATAAAATCTTAAAAAAAAGATATTTTATAAGTTATCACTAAACTAATACATTTTTGAACTTGCTCAAAAAAAAAATTATATCATCCTCCTGGCTTTGGCTCCACCACTCACTTGACAATTATTTCTTAAACAGCTGCTACAAGTCAGACCCAGTTGTAGACCCAGAGAATTCGCCTTCAACGGGTACACATTAATTCTTGCCTAGACAGAATATTGATATTTCTAATGGGTGTGGTGGGGGCAGACAGCACAGATGGTAAAATAAATGAAATATGTAGAATGGTAGCAAATGACAAGTGACATAGAGAAAAATAAGCAAGAAAGAGGGGTAGGTGTTGCTATTTTAAATAGTGTGGTCAGGAAGGCCTCCCTGAGAAGGAGACGTCTCAGGAAAAATTCCAAGTAGGCAAAGGTGAGGGAGCTAGTCATGCGGAGTCAGGAGAAAGCAGGTCAGCACAGGGACAGCAGGTGCAAAGGTCCTGGGGCAGCAGAAGGCTTGGTATGCTTTAGGAGCAGCGGCGTGACTGTGAGGGGGCCTTAGGGGAGTGCGGTGCAGACACATCTCACTGGGCCTGGGGTATGAGAGCAGATGAGTAACTGTTCTTCAAGCATGTGGGTAGGAGGGTGATCAGGAGAACACTGCTGAGCTCCAGGACAGAGCTGGTGGCGACTGGGGTCAGCGGGCGAACAGTGGGTGATTCTGGATATGTTTTGAAGGTGGAGCCTAGGTCAAATATGGGGTGTGACTGAGGAGTCCAGAACGCCCCTGAGGTCTGGT